GCAGGACCTCTCCAGACGATCTTAAAGTCCTCGAAGGTTCATAAGGAGAGATGCGTTCAGATAGGTAAGTTGTTTTCTGCTGCCCTGGAGATAGCAAGCTTGTTTTCTGCTGCCCTGGAGACTAGGACGCAGAACAATGGCTTCAAACTACAAGAAAGGAGATTCCATCTGAACATTAGGAAGAACTTCCTGACTGTGAGAGCCGTTCCGCAGTGGAACTCTCTGCCTCAAAGTGCGGTAGAGGCTCCTTCTTTGGAAGCTTTTAAACAGAGGCTGGATGGCCATCTGTCAGGGGTGCTTTGAATGCAATTTCCCTGCTTCTTGGCAGGGGGTTGGACTGGATGGCCCATGAGGTCTCTTCCAACTCTGTGATTCTATGATTCTATTGAGACTTTTGCCCTGAGCTTTTGGTCCGAACATTACGAGAGGAAGGTGCTTGGGAGGGTGGCTTTAAAGTTCAGACTGAGACCAGGGATTGATTTTCCTCCATCACTTTGCACTGTGCTCCCAGGTCCCTCCCTGGAGTGGCTCCTGAGTGGGGCCGCCAGGTAGCCACCCGCTTGCCTCCTTGCCTCCCTCCTGCTGTTGCTGCTGCTGAGTTTGGAGGAGCTAATGCTTATTAAAGATTTAAAAGGCAAGCTGTTGCAGGCAGCGCTGCTAAGAGGGGGGCTTTTTCCTCTTTTAGCTCGATCCATTCTCTTAGCTTAATAGGATTACCGGGAGGGAGGAGACCAGTGGCCCCACAGGAGCAAAGCTGACCTACTAAGGCTTGGGAGGGGGGCATACAGGGGGTTTAATTTTCCCTAGGGCAGCATGATGCCACAGAGGGTTTTGCAGGAGCAGAGGGGGTATTTGGGAGATACCTTCATTTTGGTTCAGATGACAGGTGAGGAAGGTGTATTGGGAACATTCTTCCAGAATCCCTGGGAATGTCATCCCAAAGAGCCCCTTTCTGGACCTCTGGCAAAGATGGCCCTCCTGTGCCAGGTCTGTGGCCTACATGCAGGTATGCAGTGAACATGCAGGTGTGCAGGGAGACAGGTGAGCTGGGGACAGTGCCTCCTGACCTGAGCATTGGTCAGTTGTCTTGTCTGATCAGCCTCACTGGACCTGCAGAGTCTGCCTCCTGGCGGAGGACGCATTCATAGGATCATAGAATCATAGAGTTGGAAGAGACCACATAGGCCAGGGGTTCTCAAACTAAGGCCCAAGGGCCGGATACGGCCCTCCAAGGTCATTTACCCGGCCCTCGCTCAGGGTCAACCTAAGTCTGAAATGACCTGAAAGCACACAACAACAACAACAACAAGAACAACAACCCTATCTCATTAGCCAAAAGCAGGCCCACACTTCCCATTGAAATACTAATAAGTTTATATTGGTTAAAATAGTTCTTCATTTTAATTATTGTAATTAAAACCATTCAAGAGAGATATTGGCAAGCTGGAATATGTCCAGAGGAGGGTGACTAAAATGATCAAGGGTCTGGAGAGCAAGCCCTATGAGGAGCGGCTTAAGGAGCTGGGCATGTTTAGCCTGAAGAAGAGAAGGCTGAGAGGAGATATGATAGCCAATCCATGTATAAATATGTGAGAGGAAGCCACAGGGAGGAGGGAGCAAGCTTGTTTACTGCTTCCATGGAGATTAGGACAAGGAACAATGGCTTCAAACTACAAGAAAGGAGATTCCATCTGAACATGAGGAAGAACTTCCTGACTGTGAGAGCTGTTCAGCAGTGGAACTCTCTGCCTCGGAGTGTGGTAGGCTCCTTCTTTGGAAGCTTTTAAACAGAGGCTGGATGGCCATCTGTCAGGGGTGATTTGAATGCAATATTCCTGCTTCTTGGCAGGGGGTTGGACTGGATGGCCCATGAGATCTCTTCCAACTCTTTGATTCTATGACTGTGACCTGGCCCTCCGTTTAAAAAGTTTGAAGACCCCTGACATAGGCCATCTAGTCCAACCCCTTTCTGCCTTCATGCAGGAAAAGCACATTCACAGTAACCCCGACAGATGGCCATTCAACCTCTGAATCATAGACTCCTAGACTTGGAATAGACCCAAAGGACCATCCATTCCAACTCCTTTCTTACTGCCAGGCAGGAAAAGGACAATCCAAGCACACCCGACAGACGGCCACCCACCCTCTGTTTATAAGCCTCCAAAAAAGGTGCCTCCACTACACTCTGCGGCAGAGAGTTTCACAGTTAAACAGCTCTTCTCACAGTCAGGAAGTTCTTCCTAATGTTCAGGTGGAATCTCCTTTCCTGTCATTTGAATCCATTGCTCTTAGTCTCCAGGGCAGCAGAAAACAAGACCTGCTCCCTTAGGACTTCCTTTCACATATTTAAACATGGCTTGTCATCAGCTGGGAACCCCTTCCCCCAGAACCAACTGCTGCTCTGGGCCAGAGTGAAGAGGGGGGGGGCAGGGGACAGTTCCACCTTGTCTCCTGTGCTATTCTAATAATATAATATAATATAATATAATATAATATAATATATTGTATATACATTTAATATTTATGATATTATAATGTAATGCAATATAATAATAATATGATATTGTAATTATATATTTATATTACATGTAATATTACTAATGATATTACAATATAATTGGTATAATTCTGTTAAAGGTCTGGAGACCATGCATCCCTATGAGAAATGTCTTAAAGAGCTCCTTAAGACATTCCTCATAGGGATGCATGGTCTCTAGACCTTTCACAGAAGAGCAAAAGAAGGAGAACTTTCTTCTTGTTGTGTGCCTTTGGTCTTTTCTAGCTGATGGCAAGAGTGTGGGCTCAGAGTGTGTGACTCACCAAAGATCATGCAATGGGTTTCCATGGCCAAGTGGGCAATCCCTCTGGGGTCATAGTCCAACACTCAAGGCATTGTGCTACACTTCCTTATGGGAATTAAGACTACAGACCAAGCATGGGCAAACTTTGGCCCTCCAGTGTTTTGGACTTCAACTCCCACAATTCCTAACAGCCTACCGGCTGTTAGGAATTGTGGGAGTTGAAGTCCAAAACACCTGGAGGGCAAATTTTGCCCATGCCTGCTGCAGACCTTGAATGCCTTTGTTCCGTCAAAGCAGAAATGTGAATGATTGTCGCACCTCTCTGTGATTGGACTTGGATAGCAGAGGTAATGGCTTGCATCTCATTGGTTATCCCAACGAAAGTGGACCTACTGAATCAATAGGATTTACTCATCTTTTGACAACAGATGGGTCTACTCTAGTGGGGACTCACAGATAGCATTGTGACCATCATCTCTGCATGGTTCCACCTTGGAACAGAGATGATGGCTTCCAGAGCAATGGCCTTGAGTCATTTGCTCTAGATTTTGGTCCGAACTTTAAAGGACTAACCAGGAGGTATGGTAAGAGGACTATATATATATATATATATATATATATATATATATATATATATATAGTCTCCTGCACTGTGCATATAATATAATATAATATATTGTATATACATATAATACTGATAATATCATAATGTTATACAACATACTACTACTACTAATATATTATAATTATATTTTTATATTAAATGTAATATTACTAATAATATTACAGTATAATGTTATAGTACAATGTAATATATAATATTAATATTGTGCTATGATAATAATATAATATATTGTATTTAATTTTTACTTGTAAGCTGCTCTGAATCCCCTTCGGGGTGAGAAGGGTGGCATATAAATGGCGCAAATAAATAAATAAATAATAAATAAATAAATATAGGCTTCATGACTTTGTTTAACCCCTTGAGGAGCTGAACCTTGTTATGTTTCAGCACCATGGACAGATCCTTTAACCTTAAAGGGGCCCTAGAATCATATAATCACAGAGTTGGAAGTGACCTTATGGGCCATCCAGTCCAATCCCTTAGCCAAGAAGTAGGAAAATTGCATTCAAAGCACCCCCAACAGATATTCATCCAGCCTCTGCTTAAAAACCTCCAAAGAAGGGGCTTTCACCACACTCCGGGGCAGAGAGTTCCACTGCTGAACAGCTCTCATGGTTAGGAATCATAGAATCATAGAATCAAAGAGTTGGAAGAGACCTCATGGGCCATCCAGTCCAACCCCCTGCCAAGAAGCAGGAATATTGCATTCAAATTACCCCTGACAGATGGCCATCCAGCCTCTGTTTAAAAGCTTCCAAAGAAGGAGCCTCCACCACACTCTGAAGCAGAGAGTTCCACTGCTGAATGGCTCTCACAGTCAGGATTTTTAATTCAAGGAAGTTCTTCCCAATGTTCAATTGGAATCTCCTTTCCTGTAATTTGAAGCAATTATTCCACATCCTAGTCTCCAGGGCAGCAGAAAACAAGCTTGCTCCCTCCTTCCTATGACTTTCCCTCACATATTTATACATGGGCCTCATCATGTCTCCTTCCAGCCTTCTCTTCTGCAGGCTAAACATGCCCAGCTCTTTAAGCCACTCCTCATAGGGTTTGTTCTCCAGACCCTTGATACTTTGAGTCATCCTTCTCTGGACACATTGCAACATGTCAACATATCTCTTACATTACAGTGCCCAGAATTTGACACAGTATTCCAGGTGTGGTCCGATCCTATCTAGCTCCTTTCCTAGCTGACTCCTTTGGTCATTGGACCCTATTGGACTCAGGACCTTGGAAAGCTCCTTTAAAGTTCAACCGATGAACCCTGCCTTGAATTGAAACCCTAAAATGTGCAAATGAATGCATGACCAAATGTGCATGTACATGGTTGAGATTTCTCTGTGTGCAATGGCAAAGAATGCACAACACTCTTTCTGTGACTTTGAATGGAGTGGGGTTCTCCTGCATTGGACAAAAATGTCCAACTACTTCCATGGGGGAATTTACACACCAGGAGGGTCCCAATCTTTATCGGCCATTATCATCATCATCATCATCATCATCTTCATGTGCCTTACCTGGAACACCTGGAGGTCCTGAGTCCTTCTGTGACTCCGGAATAGAGGTTGAGGGACCTACGGAAGGAAGCCAAACAAAACAATTAATTTTGTGTTGATATTTCATTGCCATTCCTTTCCATTCTCAAGGGGGAAATATTTCCAAACTCTGAATTCCTTTCCTGAAAAGTTTTCCTGGTCCTCCCAAACCTGAAATAACTTGACTGAGTTTATAATCTTTGAGATGCAGGAAGAAAAATGAGACCAAGTTGCAAGCTATAATAACGCCCTGATCTTCAGCACATTAAGTGGGAATTAACTTTTACAGGTGAGTGTGTTTGTATTAGTATTATAATTTCCTGTTTATGATCAGTGGGAATTATTTCCAGGCAAAGCTAAGCAGCACATACATGGCTTTAAGGCTCTGACATGGGAAGATGGAAGATGTCTCCTCCTCAGTGAGGAGAAGATGGATGTGCAGCAAGATGGCCCTCCTTAAATACATCAAAAGATGTCCAACAAAGAAGGAAGAGGACCAGAGTTTAAAGTGACAGGAGGGTAGATTTTGACTGAATGTTGAAAAGAACTTCTTGACCGTAAGAGAAGTTGGGCCATGGAGCTATCTGCCGAGAGAGATGACAAGGATCCCTTCTATGGACATCTTCATAAAGGGTTGCTGTGGGTTTTCTGGTTTGTCTGGCCATGTTCCAGAAGCATTCTCTCCTGATGTTTCACCCACATCTATGGCAGGCATCCTCAGAAGTGGAGAGGTTTGTTGGAACTTAGGCAAGTGGGATTTATATATCTGTAGAATGTCCACAGTGGGAAGAAAAACTCTTGTCTGCTTGAGGCAGGTGTGAATGTTGCAGTTGGCCACCCTGATTAACATTGAATGACCTTTGCAGCTTCAAAGCCTGGTTGATTGCTGGCCATCATTGCTGAGATAGAAGACAACCTGGTCCATGACAGTCCTTTGAGCCTTCTGTATGAGAAGTCATTTGGACTGGGTCCCTCCAGCATTAATTCAGTGCCATAACCACGACCCAACTCTGTCTATCCATCTCTTGCTGTGAGTTTGCAGTATGGCCATGTTCCTGAAGCATTCTCTCCTGACATTTTGCCTGCCTCTATGTCAGGCAATCTCAGAGGTTGTGAGGTCTGTTGGAAACTAGGAAAATGGGGTTGATATATCTGTGGAATGTTCAGGGTGGGAGAAAGAACTCTTGTCTGTTTGTGGTAGGTGTGAGTATTGCAATTGGCCACCTTGATTAGCATTTAGTGGCTGAGCAGTTTCAAGATCTGGCTTTTTACTGCCTGGGGGAATCTGATATCCTGGGTTGTTGTGAGTTTTCCAGGCAGAATGGCCATGTTCCCGAAGCATTCTCTCCTGACATTTTGCCTGCATCTACATCAGGCATCCTCAGAGGTTGTGAGGTCTGTTGGAAACTAGGAAAATGGGGTTGATATATCTGTACAATGTCAAAGGTGGGAGAAAGAACTCTTGTCTGTTTGAGGCAGGTGTGAGTGTTGCAATTGGCCACCTTGATTAGCATTTAATGGCCAAGCACTTTCAAGGTCTGGCTTTTTACTGCCAGGGGGAATTCTTTATTGGGTGGTGATTAGCTGGCCCTGATTGTTTCTTGTCTGGAATTCCCATTTTTGAGTGTTCTTTATTTACTGTCCTGATTTTAGAGTTTAATTGAATACTGGTAGCCAGGTTTTGTTCATTTTAATGGTTTCTTTCTTTCTGTTGAAATTGTCCACATGCTTCTTGATTTCAGTGGCTTCTCTGTATAGTCTGACATGGTAGTTGTCCGAGTGTTCCAGCATTTCTGTGTTCTCAAATAATATGTTGTGTCCAGAGGCGGCCCTAGGTAATTTTCAACAGTAAGCAACAGTATTTTGGTGCCCTCCCCCCCCCCCCCGCAACCAATCATTGATATATATTTTCTGTTCGTCGTGGGAGTTCTGTGTGCCATATTTGGTTCAATTCCATCATTGGTGGAGTTCAGAATGCTCTTTGATTGTAGGTGAACTATACATCCCAGTAACTACACTTGCCACACTTGCTCCCTTGCCTGGCCCGCTTTGGGTCCGGAGGCGTGCCTGAAGACCCCGGCGTGTGCACCAAAAGTCACCTCTTCTCCTGACTTTCTCCTCAGCCATTGGGACCAGGAGAGAGAGAGAGAGAAGTGGAGATGCCCACCTTTCCTGAAGGTAGGCGCAAAAACAAAGGAGGGAGCGGAGGTGGGAGATACCTCCAGCCGGAGGGGCTCTCTCTCTCTCTCTCTTGGTCCCAATGGCTGAAGAGAAAGTCAGGAGAAGAGGCGACTTTTGGTGCACACGCTGGGGTCTTCAGACACGCCTCCAGACCCGAAGCAGGCCAGGCATGGTGGCTCCACCCCTTGGCCCACACCTGCGGATTGGGGAGAGGAGAGGAGGTGGGTGGAGCGCTGGGGGATCGGGAAAGGGAGCCGGTCATGGGGAAGGGATCGAACACGGAGAACGATTGAGCGCCGGCTCTGCTCGCGCACCCGGTGGCCGGGTGGAGCAGGAACGAGAGGGGCTAGGCGAGGCTCAAGGGCCCGGCCCCTTTGGGAAGAGGATCGCCCGGCAGCGAGGCAAGAAAGCCGAGGCTCCCCCCGGACTGCTAGGGCTGTTGTGAGCTGAGGGTGCTCCTCAAGTGGCAGTCGAGGGGCATTTACAGAGGCGCCTCTGCGCCCCTGGCAAAAAAAAGTGTTCTGCGACCGCTTACTTCGCATAATGGACGAGCCGCCCCTGGTTGTGTCCAGGTTGGTTCATCAGTTGCTCTGCTATGGCTGACTTCTCTGGCTGAAGTAGTCTGCAGTGTCTTTCATGTTCCTTGATCCGTGTTTTGTCGTCCCTATGTAGACTTGTCCACAGCTGTATGGTATATGGTAGGCCCCTGACTCTTTCCTTCTCACGGAGCATCCATCTGCCTGCAATGGAATCCCCTCTAATGGGCCAGAAAGGTAAATATTATGCCTCGGAGGGGTAAACTTTCCTTCCATGTGTCTTCTCCAAGAGGCCTCAGCTGAAACCACCCAGCTGGCCTCTAATCCTCCTTTCAAACAAACCCATCCATGCACTGAAGCTCACTTACATTTCACAGGACTTGGGAAACAAATCTGCACAAATGTTTGGAGTTGTGTGTTATTTGAAAAAGAAAATATTTTAATTGGTTCCCCCACCCCCAAACAAGCACACCACACAGCATATAAATCTCTAATGGAAATCTCTATCCCTCCCATGTGGCTTACTTAATGCACATTTTAAACCTTAATTGCTACCAGAACGTCTTTTGACAGTTTTCTAAATAATGCAATGTATTGTATCAGCATCTGTTTTGCTAAAATTCTAGTTATTGTTCTGCGGATTCCTGCATGGAATTAGGGCCCATACAATAAAGGGAAAACGGCAACCAGGTCGTCTTCAATGCATCTTCCTTTATCGCTCTCCCAGCTCATCCTTTCAGGGAGAGCTTACGACACTCTTTCTATTCTGAGCAATGAATGCTGCAGTTACACCCAGAAATCATCCAATGAACGCTTCGGGTTTTGCATTTTCGTCTTCTCCATCACAAATTGACAATGTCAGTAGCATGTCTTTACACTGAATAGCCCAATTGCTCACATTTACTAACCAAGTTATCATTTTTCCTACAGTTGATAGGAAACGCTTGCTGTTCTGTCCTCCTCCAGAGAACCATATACAAGGAGCGTTCATTAAAGATTTCCCCTTTTTTGTCGTGGCAGGAGTGACTGAGAAACTGCAAGTCGCTTCTGGTGTGAGAGAATTGGCCATCTGCAAGGATGTTGCCCAGGGGATGCCCGGATGTTTTGATGTTTTACCATTCTTGTGGGAGGCTTCTCTCATGTCCCTGCATGAGGAGCTGGAGCTGACAGAGGGAGCTCATCCACGCTCTCCCCGAATTCGATTCCAACCTGTTGGTCTTCGGTCCTGCTGGCACAAAGGTTTAAAAATAAAGAAGTATCAGACTCAATTCAATGGGCGGCAGCCAGATTTCTGGGGCGGTATACAGGGACCATACCCCCCCCCCCCGCTATGCCAACTCCACTGACTGCATGGGGAGCTGGAGCTGACAGAGTGAGCTTGTGGTAGTACAGGTGTACCAGGAGCTCCAACCTCATTTTCTTTCTATTGAGTGTTTGCATGTATTCCCATGTTCCATGAATTTTGCAATAAGGTGGCTTCCCTTGGTCTGCAATTATAGGGCCAATGACCCATCAATCATCATTATGTTTTTTAGTTCCGCCTCTTTCCCCAGCAGAGTAGGGCCCACACCAGCAGAGCCTAGAAAGCAGATTGCCTGGGAGGGGTCAAGAGAGGATTTTCCTTGTTAAAGAAAGAAATAGTTCTCCAAGCAAGGTACCTGTCCATTGTAGACAAATTAAGAAGCCTTTGTTTAATTTGTTGAAGATCCAAGAAGTATTTGATTGTTTGTTGAAGACCTAAGCAATAATAAAGGACTTTGTTAAACCTTTCAAGCTTCTAAAGACTCTGTATAGGAAAATCCTTAGGGCCTCTCAGCCGAGGCACCCCGGCTTCCCGCTGGGCACAAAGAGCACGTCCTGTTCAAAAGCCAACTGCTATAGGCCCAGCGCATGACAGAACAGAGCTCATTCACACTCTTCCTGGATTCTGTCAGTCTTCAATCCTGCCAGCACAGGGGTTTAACCCACTGCACCACTGGGGGCTTTTAGATTTCCCCTGACCCACCGCTATCACAGGATGCTGAAACTGCACATGTATAATAATATAAGTCTTTATAGGCTATGTGCCAATTTACAACTCAGAATTGACAATGGTCTTGTTTTTCCAGTTGCTGAAGTGTTGTGCGGGTTGAGAATGGACCCAGTGGACTACAGAGCAGTCATCAAGTTCCTTTCCTTGAAAGGCCGCACACCAGAGGAGGCGTTTGATGAAATGAAAGAGGTTTATGGTGATGATTCCCCATCATATGATGTAGTCAACAACTGGCATCATCCATTCCAATGTGGTCAGATTTCAGTGAAAACAGCTCCAATTCCAGGGCG